AATTCATTGCTTGAGGTGTTGATGTGTATTTGATCTATTGAAATAATGTGAATTGAGGATTTGCTTTACAGTAAATTAGAGTTTTGTTAAATTAAACGCTCATAGGAGGCTTTAACATAATGATAACATAACTGTGCTTAAATGGTAGAGACCAGTCTGACACTTAAGTCGTACTTCATCAGTCAGCCGTCTTCAAGTAAAATATCCAAGCTTTGAGGGGCTACTGGATAGGAACTAATTCACTATTTAAAGGCCCATGTTTTATATACTTATTTTCATCTCGTTATGTTTCAAAAGAAAATGATGAGGACTAGCCAAAATCAAAATCCCATGATATTATTTTAAAATATTATTTCGCTTTGTATGTATTTCACTATATGGCAGATTATTGTGTGAATGTACTTTGGTTGTTTTTGGGTTTCATTTTAGAATGAATTACCATAAGTAAGCTCTATTAAAACAAACAAATAATGTGGACCTCACTCACTTCTAAACTCTGGTTCAAACTCTGTGTGTCAACTCTGTGTGTTTTTAGTCCAATGGATAATTTATTGTAACTTTTTATGCTGTGGTTCACACTCAAGAAAACAAACTGTAATGTTTGATGGTTGTTTTTCTCTCCTCTCACCTATAGACACACAGCGTTTGATTTTATCTATTGCTCCTCGCTGCCTTCCTGCCCATTGTTCCCACGGTAGCTGAAGTGGTGAAGTCGGTGTCCCCGACTGTGCGGAGTTTCTCCTTGATGCATAGCCACCTCAGGTCCAAGGTATCGTGGAGGATGGGAACATTAAGGACCAGAACCAATACAAATTCATATGTCAGACATATATAAGAAGAAAGAGAAAGCCAGGAAGTGCAAGCCTTCACAGAACACATCAACTCTTTGGACAGTAATGTGAAGTTCACACGAGAAGATGTTCACAACAACAGTTTGGCCTTCCTGGACTGCGCTGTACACATTGAAGAGGACAGGAGCCTGCAGATTGGTGTTTACAGAAAACCCACACACACAGACCAATACCTACTCTTCGATTCACACCACCCACTGGAGCACAAGCTAGGGGTCATGAGAACACTGCACCACAGAGCAGAAAACATACCAACAAGCACCCAAGCCAGAGAGAAGGAACAGAACCACCTGAAGGGGGCACTTACAGCCTGTGGATACCCTAAATGGACCTTTGTGAAAACAGCCACAAGATCCAAGAAGAACAAAACTACAGGGGAGGAAAAGAAGGTCAAATGCAACAACTTTGTGATTCCATACGTGTCTGGAGTATCAGAGAAACTCAGGAGGATTTTCAACAAACATAACATCCCTGTGTTTTTTAAACCCAAGAACACACTAAGACAGATGCTGGTACACCCCACAGACCGCACACCCAAACACAAGAAAAGCAATCTAGTGTATGCGGTCCAATGCAGTGAGGAATGCACAGACCTGTATATTGGGGAGACTAAACAACCACTACACAAACGCATGGCTCAACACAGAAGGGCCAACTCCTCAGGTCAAGACTCTGCTGTCTACTTACATCTGAAGGACAGAGGACACTCGTTTGAGGACCACCAGGTGCACATTTTAGACAGAGAAGATGGATGGTTTGAAAGAGGTGTCAAGGAAGCCGTCTACACCAGGGTTGAGAAGCCGTCATTGAACTTATCCCCCACTTACAATGCTGTCCTTTCATCACTTCCCAGGAAACTCAACAAACGTAACCTATTGGCCTCAGGTGAAGATACCAACGATGGTCGTTAAGTCTTGGCCAAAGGTAGTCTTAACGACTGTAACGACTGTCGTCACAGCAACGAGGAACACTAACGAACCAGCGGTATCGATGACCCGGGCCAACGACCCCACTGAGGTTAAATAGCTGAGTTTCCCAGAACTGAAGAAGTCCTTTGGATGAGGGACGAAACGTCTTCCAGTATCTTCAACCAAGTCCAGTTGAGCTTTATTTTAACCTTCGTTGGATAATTATGACCTGGATGACTGAGAATCTTCATAAACAAGAGAAGGTTTCTGACGCTCTACAACACAGAGAACAAGATTCCAGTGTTTTCTGCTTTAAAGTACGTTCAAGGGACTCCTTTGAAAGAAAGAGCCACAGGTGTGTTTTTCTTATTGACTAATAAGAAACGAAATAAATAAACAGTAACATTGTATTTCTCTCTGACTTTAACTGTCTCCATAATAAAATTTGATGGGAGAAATAAAAGAGAGAAAAATCTTTTGAGCGTGTTGCTTTGGCTAATTACCGTTACTCACACCTGTGGCCTGTCCAGCAATCCACTCGCTCAGTGAAATATGGCGGCTCATCATCCACCCCTCGCCAGTTAGTCAGTTCACCTTCAGTGGTAACCAATGCTACGGCTAAGTCTTGCACTTAAATTAGAGTTTTTTTGTCTTGTAGTTTTTCAACCGGGAATTAATGACCTTTTGTATGTGCCTTGTCCTAGTCTGCTGAAAACGCTGCCTGCCTGTTCAGAATTGTATTCTGGAAGACGCTGCACACATACTGCGAGTCCGTCCTTTGTTTCTACCTGCTTCAGCCTTCTCTTCATACAGAGCAAGTACTCTACTCTGTGTTGACATTTTTATATCCAGTAAAGTTAGTTAGAATCACTTCCTCGGATTTTATGTATCATAGCAACTAAAGCAGTCGAAAAAAAGCTGCCCGCTAGCACTTCCTGCTGGACGTTTTCAGGAGAGCAGCTGCCGTTTTCAGCTGGCAAAAAACGCTTTGGTGGACACCGGCCCTAATGCTTTGGATACGTTGTTAATGTCATGTGAATTGAAACTCACTCAGTCTGGATGTCAGAGGCACTTCGCTAAGTTGAAAGTGTTTCCTCCTTTAGTCTGAAATTTTGATGGCACTGTTTGCATGATGTTTTTGTAAATTTATAATTAGCCTACTCCCTTTCTTTTCAACGACTTGAGGTGGAGATGTTTGCTGCAGCTGCACTCGTCGCCCTTTTTCACCTGTTGGATCCCCAGTACTTTTGGTACCTAAAAAACGAGTACTTCATAAATTTAGTATGGACTTGGCCGAGCCTCACTTCTTGGCTTCCCTTACCCACCCCAAAGGAATTTTGATACCAAATTAAAGACAATATTTAAACATTGACAACATCAGAAAAAAAAAATTATAAATATACTTTGGCTGTGACTCTGCCCAAAATGAACTGTGAATGTTGGTTTCTGACAGCTGTGCTGCTGCAGTGAAAAACAACACTTGTAACCACAGACATGCTGCTGAAATGGGTGTGTCCATACTTGTGACCTACACTAATGAAGATCTCGTCTATAGCTGAGACTGAGCTTCCTGTTGGACCTCACGCTTCTGTATTTACAGTGTAAGTGTCACCAGAATTATCCGACATCAACACCTTTTTTTGTACCAGTCATTTGCACCAGGCTTACTGGAAAACAGCTATTTTGTCACATGTTTTAAGTTTTAACATAGAATAATTTAGCTTTGACCAATGTCTGAACTGTATTTCATATTTTACCATATTTAGAAGCTCTCTTGAGTTCTTCCTGATCTCCACCTGTATAAGAGAGGGACATGAACAAGTGTCTTCACTCTGAGATCTCTTTTCTTGCTTTTAAGATCTCTATAGATTAGACTCTTAAATTTTGATCTTTCTTTATTTCTTGATAGACATTTTTTGAAGACAAACAGAGAGGGAAGTTTTTGTTACCAGTTAGCATAGTATTCTTAGCAGCTATTGGCTTTGTGCACTGAGGATTTCAATAATTCATACTAGATATTTTCAGCTTTAAGTAAATTCATTCTACAATCAAGAGATAGTTCCTGTAAGACTCTTCTCTGAACGACGACTGCCACAGCATTTTATCTAAAGGTATGGGTCCTCTTTGGGATAGGGTCTGTTGCTGAAATGATTCAATTACATTCAGTTGGTGGAAAATATTACTGAATGTTTTCTGTATGGAAGCCCTAAGAGGCCATATATTCATACATTACATTCACATAGTGTATTTTGGTCTTTTCAATGTTTTCTTGCTTGTATTGTTTTTATTGTATTATGTTTCACATGCTCACAATAAAGCATGTTGTTTTATGGAGATTTTGAATTATTTATTCGTTATAACAGGATTACAATGTTTAATTTCTATTCAAGGTGTTTATGTGCAGTTGATTTATTGCTATGTGAAATACATCTGAAATGAAATGAGGATTTTCTTTGAAGTGAATTGGAGTTTTTCTAAATTGAACATTCAGGCTTGATATTGCCTCTTTAAACCGGGTGAGGCTTTTGAACTAAGTCTCAAGTTTTACACACTGTAACTAAACGTCACTTAACTTTACTCTTACAGCAGCACCTGTTGCTCTTTAATGATCATGTGAAATTTTGTAGCGCTGCTCATTCAGTCAGCAGACAATAACAATAATAACAATAACAATTTGCCTATGACTTCTCTTGTATTGCAGTGTAGAGATAGTTAGTGATATAATAATAATATATAAGTATAACAGAGAAAATAGTTTACTATAACCCTGTTTTATGTACCTATTTTTCATTGTTTTATGTTACAAAAGAAAATACTTTTTGGATGAGGACTGGCCAATGTGTTTGGCAAATGTAACATTGGCTGATGTTGCCTTAAATTTCCTCAAAATCAGATAAAAGCAAAACAAAACAGTATTTTTGGGTGCGGAAAGATGAAAAAAATTACATCCCCATGCAGAAAAAAATTTGACACGACCGTAAAAATGTTAAACCGTGGCCATAACCAACTATGGGCTTGGTTTAAATCATTTAAATCTCCTGATCGCTCAAAGTTAATTAATGTTATGTGTTCTTCTCAACATCCAAAAGGTCTCACACACAGTCCAGGTTCATACAGTGAAACTGTCAACTTTATAACTACAGTTTTTTGTTTTGCTGCTTAAATGTCCCACGATATTTCAGCGACATTACTGTGTGCGGAAATGTTTAAATTACTGACAGCAACCTCTTTCATTAAAGTTAATAGTTAAAGAAAACGGTTTTACATCAACACAGCACAATAAAGCAATCACCTGCTACACGGGACCATTAGAGGTGAGGTAAAGTGTCCATGCAGCTGCTGGTGGACTGCATACTGATTCAGATCATGTCGATGCTGCTGACGTCAAATTATCAGCCTGTAATCTCAACTATACTATACTACATTCAGCACAGACCTGCTGTATTTTACATGGTCGGATGTTTGCACTACCTGATCATAGCTTGTGTCTCTGTATCTCTTATTTTATGCAGCTTTAGTGAGCCAGGAAGTGTAGAGAAAGACCCTGATGAACTGTGTTCAAACCAAACACAAGGCTTTTCACACTGCCAAGTTCATGATAATTTATTGTAACTTTGTTACTGGTTCAAACTGTAGAAAAAAACTGTAATGTTTGACGGTTGTTTTTCTCTCCTCTGACCTAAAGACACAGAGTTTGACGATGACGTCCATGAAGATGTGGTATCTCTTGCTCCTCGCTGCCGTCCTGCCCATTGTTCCCACAGTGGCTGAAGTGGTGAAGTCGGTGTCCGACTGTGAGCAGTTTCTCCTCAACAAAACTCCACCAGATGTCACGAGCATCTTGGAGGGCAAGAAAATGGACGAGAACCGATACAAATTCATATGTCAGACTTATGACAATAAGAGAAGGTTTCTGACGCTCTACGACACCAAGAACAAGATTCCTGTGTATTCTGCCTACAAGTACACAGGGGGAACAGAGAAGGGACCATTCAAAAGACCCAAATGGAAAATAGAGCCACAGGTGTGTTTTTCTTATTGACTCATGAAAAACTAAATCAATAAATAATAATATTATATTTTTGGTACAAGCAAGTACTGCTGGTGCATCCACACCCACAGTAGAAATGCTACTATTACCTACTAAACAATAATAAAACTTTGCACAACTTTGCAATTTTTATTTTCATACTGCATATCAGTGATACAGCCTTGTTAATGTAATAGCACTAGCGAGGAGTTTCACAACTAATTTCACTGCCTTTTGATATAAGACATGCATGTAGGACGCTAATCTATCAATCCAGGTTGAGCCCAGTGAAGCTCCATTCAATTCACTGCTATGATTATTAACTGAAATTAATGGATAAGGCAGCTGATCTTCTATATTTTTGTTATTGTCAGAAAAACACCAACAGTACTAAAAATATTTTCTGAATTCTCTACTCTGTCTGTGGTTCCTAAACCTTTAGAAACAGGTCACATATATATTTTGAATTTTTGTTTAAATGCTCAGCTGTTTATAAGCAAACGTTACTTAAACAGCAGGGAATTGTGCATTTGTTAGGGACTATTTACAGCAGTGGAATGGTACTTTAGTATTTATGGCAGCAGGATAAACTACAATGTGCGTGTTCATGATGAGGAAGGAGCATGTTGCGCTGTGCAACAATGAGGTTCACTGATGTGTTTTAACAATTTTAACTAACTAAAGGAAATCTTTGCTGTGCATGAATTTCAATTTATTGTTACTCTGCCTGCATCAGTAACTTGGTCTTTAACTCTTACAGCTTGAGGGAAAAACGAATGAGAAGATGATGTGTAATGCAGATGACAACACAATTTACGTCAAGCAAGCTGGGATCAAAGATTACGAAACCATAGAAGGGTTTAACAAGGGCCATTTAATTCCATACTCTTATGGATCCACCACATCTGACAAAAAATCCACCTGTACGCTAACCAACATTGTTCCACAAGCAATTACATTCAACGGGGGAAGCTGGAGCACAATGGAGATGTGCGTCAAATGTGTTATGGACAAATACTGCAAAATCAACAACGGTGGTACTAAAGCCTATGTGGTTACTGGAGCAATACCCAACGACAGAAACAAACAACTCAATAAAAAGATTAATATTCCTGACAAGCTCTGGTCAGCATTCTGCTGCTACAGCCCCGAAGAGAAAAAATGGATAGCAAGCGCACACTGGGGTGAGAATGTTCCAGAAAATGAATCTGAAGAGAAAAATGAAAAATATGTAAAGATTGAGACTCTGGAAGAACTCCTCAATAAACTGAAGGTAGATGTGTTTCCTGGAAAAGAGTGTCCTCGCCATACAAAGATTAGTTTTACCCAAAATCTAACAACTGCTCATGCCCCCCCTCTACTTAAACCACTTCTGCCTGTCCCATGTAACATCTGCCCCTTTCACCACAACATCTGGTCAACTATATCGAGTCCTGCCTAGTCTACAGCTGCCTCTCCCTTTACCACATCTGTAGTCAGATGTGTCTTTGAGGTTCAATCTGTACAACAAAAATATTCAACTCTGGTGAAAAATAGGGACATTCAAACCAAACCTTTAATCTTTGTTTATTCAACTATGTTCAAAATTGAATGAAAATGTATAATCAGCAGCTAACATGAACGCATATATAAAAATAATTAATCGAGATATTGCATCATCTTAACTACAAAAATTATTCAATGCAGAATTAACAACCTGAAAATGTTTCGCAATGTGTCACAAATGTTTGAATCTTCATGCTTCTAAACATGTTGGTCTTCAGATAATTGATGAACCATACAGAGAATGCCAAACTGTGCAATGTAATATATGTTATGGCAATTTGTATCTCATAGCATTATTGTTTGTTTCTCATACTGTTTGATGTCATTCATGTATCAAAATGTACTTCACCGAGGTCACCGTCAGTTCAGTGTTCTCCACTACGGCATCCTCGGTACTTTCCTACTTCTCTATTCTCATTCACACTGATGACCCTGGGCCCAATCCGGCCGGACAGGTACCAGACAAAGTTCCTGTTTGCAACTCGTTGTTTTAGTAATTGCCACTCGTAGTGCTTTGTCCCCTCACAGCAAAATTTCTCATTTCTCATTTATTTATTTAAGGACAGTGCACATTAATCAACATTTCTGTAAATGTGCCAGTGTTAGCCAGCAGGCTAATTTTCAACTGTAGTCCGACAGATGCTAAAAACAACCACACTCCACTGCTCCGTAAAACACATGCACTCTTCTCCTTCCTTTATACTCTCCTGCAGACTGCTCTGTACTCTGTATGACTTGTACCTCTGAGGCCTCATAAATACGGCAAAGACAACTCTGTGTTCGGGGCCAACTTTAATTTACATCTCGGTTTATTTCCATTACATATCCAACTGACTAGAATCCATCTATCCTTTATTTATCTCTTGTGAACATATTTTAAGATTCTGTCATGAGCCCTTTATTTACTGAGGCCCCAGGGCAACATCTAGCGTCCTTTTCTAATGTAAAGCAGTAAACTAAGTGAAGATTGGAATAAACATTAAAACAAGATATATTGCTTATATCAGCAAACTTAAAACTGCCTTGGCCGAGGTGTTTTGGTTATTTTTGCTGGGAACAATGTCTAAAAGTTGATGGAACACTTCTATAAACAAACTGTGGCCACTCTGCTCAAAAAAGCATTATTTTTCTGTCAAAACATTGGTGCTACAGGTACTGACTTAATTTATAGGAATATTTGAAAATGTCTCCATAAATACATTTCTAATTCTACAAAGAAAAAGAAAAACTTTGATCATTATAAATATCATGACTCTGTGAACTGATATCACCATATGAATATTAAACGGGAAGCAGCTATAAGTGTTCCAGATATTTCACTTATATATTTCTGTAGAAATTGGTAAGTCTTTAATTGAGTAATTGGATATTAAAATAGTCTAAATTACAAATTGTCCTACTTTGGTCTAAGAGACAAACAAACAATAAAAGACATGTGTGCAGAATATATCACAAAACCAAACAGCATCTTGTTACTCTAAATTTGGTAATTTGTATTGTACCACTACTTAGATTTTGTTTTCCCTGTAACTGAGAAGGGGATGTCATATTTAGTAAAATTCCTTTGGTTTGTCAGTGAAAACTGTTTTGTCTCCAGATGAGAGAGTTTGATGATTTATTCCAGCTACAGTGATGTCACCTCTGTCTCCTCCCTGAACATTTGTTTTTTTTCTACGATAAATAAATAATTACAGTAAACCAAACCCCTGTAAGGAGTCCCAAGTGTTAAATATTTGTGATTTTAACATGTAAATGAAGCAATGTGGTATAATCTGAGAAGAAAATAAAGGTATTTTTCAACTTTTTCTCATCGTTTCAACTTCGAAGACGTCTCGGCTGCATTACATTAAGTTTACTTAAATCAGGGCTCTACAATTCGACCATTTCAGCTGCATGTGTCCCTAAAATAGATTGCATACCTGAAGACCAAAAATTATTCAGGAGCACTAGGGCTGGACAATTAATTGAAATTCAGAGCCTCTAACCGACATTTTACCATGTTGGTTTTTTATAAATAGTTTCCCCACTTTGGGCCAATCCCATTTCACCCCTTGTTTTTTCGTATGTACCCCTTGGCCCTTAAAACAGAGTTACAAGGGCCAAGGGGTTGAATTATTCCCCTACGAAATGTAACAACCCTTCAAGAACTGAATACGTCATCAGTAGTCGACGACGGCTCTGACGCTAATAGAAGAGGCGAGTTTTTACAGGATTTCTTCATGACAATGATTGAAAACATATCCACTATGCCGTCTACCGCTGTGGTAATCTCTCTCGTATGGTAACGTTATATCACACATCAAGCGATCTAACAAGTCACCAATTAAAAATAAAAAGCACAGCTTCATTACCAGGTTACTTGTGCTAGGTTCGAAGGAGCTAAGTGATACAAACTGTACCCATAAAAGGAAGTATCAGGCCAGGTAAGTTGTAACCAGTAACCTTTACTCACATTACTTTTCAAGTAACAGTTGAAACACAATTACATAACATACATGAAAAAAAAAAGGGGCCCTTTAAAATAAATGAGTGTTTGTTTTTTTTCCTTTTGTAGTTGTTAAAGTCTGTTTGTGATCACTTCCAGTATTAGTCAATAGTTCTGTGACAGTTTCCTTGTTTAAGAGGAAAGTTGGCACTTTTGGATGAAGTGTTGTACCAGCTCAGGCAACCGATACTTTCCTGTTCGATGATCTGCGTCTCTTCAAGATCACACTGGGAGGCTCGCCATCGATAGAAAGGGATCTTCCAAGTAGTTCTCGCTCTGTTCATAAGACCTGACCTGTTTTTGCAAACAGGACTTTAAAACAATGTTCTATATATCTATCTGTTGTATAACAATCATACTAAAGCATAACAACCATGTAACATTTAAGCATCACATGCTGCATAATACTCAATGATCACATGTTCAGGCATAATGTTCCATGTGACCACATTTTTTCCAAGGCTGGGGATGTCAATTATGAAAAAAAAAACCGACTCAGTCTCAAAACAGTTGAATATTTCTTAATAAAATTCTTGACATATAACAAATGTGAGACATTGTTCCATTTTTCATTTATCATTCTTGAAACAACTTCAACTTTACTCAAGTTACAGATTTTTAATCCATTACACCTCATCACTGCCAGCACTCATTAATTATTATTACACTAGGGCCTATCTAGCTTTCCTGCTAATTATCATTACACCTCTTTTAATAAGCTACTGTAGATATCCACATTTATTACTATATTCAATGGTTCGTATAGGCCTACTTTATTATATTCTCTACTCACTAACTTCAACTACTATTATTTCTTTTCCTTTTATGCCTTGCGAGTATCTGCAACAAAGAATTCACCCTCGTAGATCAATAAAGTATTCCGATTGTGAAAATGGATAGGATAGTGGGAGAGATGTGGGTTCGATTCCCACTGTGATACGTGTCCCTGAACAAAACACCACTAGTTACTCTCAAGGTGCGTCCTTTGACAGCAATTGTGATTTGCTTTCGAGAAAAGCTTCAGCTAAATGAGTGATTATTTATGAAACAACACACAGATGTGTTTTATTTAAACACACTTTTATTGCAATCCCCATCTGCTGTCTCTGACAATCTGAAGGCATTTGTTTGTATGTTGTATAGTGATTTCTCCAAAATCCTGTTGGTCATTTATTGATAAGACGGTTATAATTGTAAACGCTGGTCATCATTGTTTCAATGAAACCCCTACCAAGATGTGTCGATATCAAAAGTGACCAGTAGGTGTCACCGTGGAGACGAGTGTTTTGAAGCCTCGACACAATTCCGGAAAACATTGCTTCAAACGTTTCAGTGTTTCACAAAGCCTCGCTTTGCCCATCACTACTATAATCATCCTGCATTTCACTAGCTTACCGAGACAAATAGAGGTGGAAAACGGATTTGTTCCAAACTCACGGTTGCTCCTCCTTATCCTGTCTTCTGTGTAGTTTCTTTAGCTTGCTAATACACCTTACTTTTATCACTCTGTTAATTTTCTCTTTTCTCCTGTCGCCATCAAGCATGTTCGTCTCCTCTTTCTTTCTCACATACACACGCGCAGAGTCTCACAGGATCACGCAGTTGCGTCATGACCTGTCAATCATGTTCAGCTGGGGGAGGAACTGTCGCTTCTGATTGGCTGATTTTCCTAAAGGGATATTACGCTATTTTAATATATTTTTTACATTATTTTAACTTGCATTACTAGAGAAGCTAGCTAACAAGAAAAATTTTTATGTTGAAATGACATTAAACTCAGAATAGCCATGTCATCTTAAATTATACAAAGAAAATACTTGTATTCTGAGAACGAGTGTGCCTCTGAAAAATCTCCATTTCGAAGGCTATGTAGCCCTTCCCCTTTGCCCTACCCCTCTATCGCAACAAGAATCGGGACACCCTACCCCTAGACGTGAATGCACAAAACGGAGGCGTAGTGGCAAGGGCTGAAATGGGATTGGTGTGTTCATGTACTTATCCCTTAAAAACACGCTACCATGTGTGTGGTCATGTGATGTCCAGTCCTGCAAAGCTTCCAGACCGGAGACTGGCGCTAACCGCCTTCACTTTCCAAAAGTTGGCGAAACAATAACCATTTTATTAACGGACTTGCTGTGACCTACACAGTACATTTACTGCCAGACTGACAACAAACTTGCTCGCTTCAACCGTCCCTTTCTGCTGCTCGCGCTCTCTCAATCGCTCCACCCCTCACTCACTAAAAACATACACTGCACTCCTTAAAACATCTGATGTTAACTCTGCTGCTCTTGTAAAAACAGCTGTCATGTAACCTAGATATTCTTTGATGAATGAGGAGAAGAAGCTAGCAGGCGTGTGTTGTTGTGCTCCTACGTTGATATAGTAGCCTACTACTGCTCAATAGGCATATTTATGTAGGCTTTAATCAAAAAGGACCAGGCACCACGGCTGGTGATCGCTCCGGAGGAGAGGGAAGACAGCCGAGATAGAGCCATGCTGGCCTAGCTTGGACCTATGGCTGATCCCGGTAAATGTCCAGTCTGGAGGAGATGGGTATCGTGCTGCCAAACACCGGAAAATCGAAGACTGTTAAGCCGACATCTTTACACAGACCTGCCCCATCAATGTCCTGGAGCATGCAGCGGGCACACCGTGCTCTGTCAGAGCGCAAGGCTCGGCCGAGATGAGACGAGGCGGATTCTGTGTTTACAGCTGTGATGCTTGGTGCTTAAACAGTCAAAGTGGATGGACACTGTTTCCTATATGTCAGACTTCATATGGAGGCTACATATCTCACATTATGCATTGGAATACTGTCCACTGAACTCACTATAAATGTTCATGCTGTTTACATAGCCGACTGTTATAAGGCTGCTCCCGCTACTGGCTTTATATTTCAGAAGCTAATGTTAAGTAGCCTACTTCTGATGCTGCTATTATTTAAATAGGCTAGAGATAGGCTATGCAGGTGAACATACTTCAGATAGGGGTTGCACTATTAGGCTACGCACTTGTGTGCTCCAGCCCTGCATGCCATTCTCACTCCCCAATACAGATCAGCTGTCTCGTCTAGTCTCATACTGTAAATTACAGTCTTATTTGTGCGGGTCTGACTAATAGTGAAAAGCTCATAAAATAACCTACTGGAGATGCATTAAAAATCACAAATGATTCACAGTGACTTTGGTTTAATGACACAATAAATGCCATTCTGTTTTTTTGGCTGGCCAGCATGTCTATTTTTTTTTGTGTGTCTTGTAAGTTGACTTTGTTTTTAGCACATTGGACCGTGAGAAACGGCATTTCGGATGTTTTAAACCTAAAAAGGAGAAGCTTTATACAGGCCTGTTGCCCGGCCCGCATTTAAGCTATGACGTGAAAACTGGCCCGAAGCCCGGCCCCTGGGGTGTAAATAAGTCGGGAGCAATTTGTCTCGGGCTGAAATGCAGGGCTCTAACCAACGCTAGCCACGCTTAAATGAAAGTAGAGTTCTTTTGTCTAGTAGTTTTTCAACTTGCAATTAACAATTGATTGCCCGAGTCTGCCACTCGTGTTTG